AAAATTGTGTTTTTGTGCCCCCAGTTTATTTAATTGTTGCATTTTTTTTTTTTTTTTTTTTTTTTTTTTTTTTTTTTTTTTTTTTTTGGTGTTTGCTTAATATTAGATAGATTTTATTAATTGGTCCTTTGGTTTCGAAAACATGTCACGCTAAAAGGCACAATATGGAACTAATCTATTTCTATTTGTGTTTGGGGATTTGTGTTTATCGGCGTTAGATCACGCTCAGTTAGCTGCTTAATAGGGCTTGCCCAAGTCCTTAGGCCGCTTTAGCTGCACCTTCAAGCGCTTTGTGCCTATTTGAAAGCCGTGCATTGCTTGTATGGCCGCATCAGCTGAATGCCGATTGTCGTAGGAAACGAAGCCAAAGCATTTCGATAGATTTGTTTGCTTATCGATGAACACTTTGGCCGATAGCACATTGCCAAAGGGCAAAAATGTCGAAGCGAGATCGGTATCTATGAATTCCTGAGGTAGATGATAGATAAACAGATTGCTGCCATCGGGACCTGTAATTGAAGTGGTAGATAATTATAATTACCGAATAGTTTAAGAGATCGCTAGTACAGTGAATGCTCCACAAGGGGATGGGTAATGCGAAAACTAAAGTAAAAATCTATGAAATCTCTGATTGTTGCCAAAAATTATAATTATCCATCAAGTCAAGGTAAAGATTAATTAACATGTTATGCAAGTAGTTTTACTAGTACCTAACTGATCGATAGAGTGATTAGCGATCGAGCCATATTCTTTATCGATCAATCAATTAATAACTTGCTGACTATTGAATTAATAAGTGCTGAGGTCATATTCTGTTCAATGATTAACGACTGATGGATTGGATTCTTAATTTACATGCTCATCTGTGATCTACTTAAAGTGCTGACTGATGAGTAACATGACCAAAGTCTATAGTGTTATTTATAGCTAATCAATCCAGAGTCTATATTGATCTATAGTCTACGCTGATCTACGCTGAGAAATTCGTAATAAGTCTCAATTTATTAACATGTACGAAACTCTATCATTGATCACCTCATAATCTACTCAAATTAATGATTCTTGCCTTTATATTACATCGCAGAAAAAACCTCTTCCATTTTATGCTATTATGAATCAGCTCAAGATCTACTCAGCCCAATAAGTTTTTTATTTGTGTTCCATCCCATCTTTCAATTACTCAAATTCCTTATTAAGGAGCATTCACTGTATGTTCACTTACCCTCGATCTGTTTGCCTGCCACGGTCGCTGCGGCGGCTTGCAAGGCGCTGGCATTCAGCGTCTGTGCGGCTCCATAGGCGGCTGCTGCGGCACTAGCTCCGTTGGATAAGCCGGTAAAGGTGTTGGTGCCATAGGGATCTGCGGCGCTGGGTGGCCCTAGAATTTTAGATTTTTCGATAATTTTAAAATAATATTTAAGAAAATGTTCACCAAATTGACGCTGCGCTAGGGGAAAGAGAAAATTATGTAAAATATGATGTTGTTTAAGTTTATGCAAGCTGTTGTTCAATAAAGGAAAAAATAATACAAATTACACGACAAACAGAGGCAAGGACAGAAACTTATGAGCACGCCCATGCACTCACACACACACGCACACACATACATAGAGAATATAGAGAACCACACACATAAACACTCAAGTGCTCTATGTGGCAGAGCTGAGTTAACGCATATGGAAACCGCGCTTAATATATTTTGACCCTGGCGTTTTCCTTTGTTATGCCCTATTGTAGGGTATTCTTGTTTTGTTATGAAACGTGCAAGGCATAAAAGAAAAATAAATTCATTTATATGTTCTAGATCTTTTGATGAGGCATAGACTATATAGAATATAGTTGTTTCATTCTATTCTAATGTTAAGTCTAGTAGCAAGCTTTTCATATAAAACTGTCCTGTAGTTGAGTGTATTAAAGCGTCGACGTGCCAATAATGCAATTTATTTTCTTTCTTAGTTTTTGTTTTTCATTCTGTTKTTTTTTTATTTGTGCATTTTTTTCGCCTGCATTATTAAATTTCATATCCTTTTGTTTTTTTTTAAAAAATTTGTTGTTAGCCTTTGTTGTGCGCACGGCGCCTGTTTTTTAATTGAGCTGAGCGCCCATACCAGCAAAACCCAAATCCCCTTAACCTGGCCTTTTGCTTTGTGCAACACAGACACACACACACCCACCCACACACACACGCACACACAGGCACACACTGATAGGGAAAAATTTTTGTAATCTACTAAAAATTTATTACGTTTTTACGTTTTCTCCTCGTTTCTTTTGTTATTTACATACGTGTAATACATAACAAACAAAAAGAAACAAACAGCGCAATGAAAGTTTTGCATTTCATGTGCATTCGCCATGCGAACAAAAAAACGAGATGAAAATCATCATAAACATGGCTAAAATTTTTTATGTACCATCAAATTATGAGTTTTCATTTTTTACGCTCAGTATTTATTTTATTGCGTTTCCTGCACAATTTAGAGATATTATTTTTTCAAGTGCCCCGTGGCGTGTTACACAATATATTGATTGAAGGTCTTTCTCTAATCAGTGTTGGAAAATATTCTTATTTTTTGTCTATTAAATACTAAAAAACTGATCTATCAATTTAAGTAGTTTTGTTCATAAAGATTTTTTTAATCCTTTAAATCCTACTGAAATATGTATTCTAAATTTTCTGAAATAGTTCGTATTAAACTACAATACTCGTATTGTACCTCACTACTGTGACGAAAAATCGGATGGTTAAGGTAATCACATTTCCATTGAACATTTCTAAAAAAATTCATTAAAATGATAAAAAAAAAGACTGTCAGTTACCCTTGCAATTATTATTATTCGTGCTCAATAGAGGAGTTGATTACACCAATTTATTTTTTTGTTTGTTGCCATTCACGATCTAGTAAGATTAAGATGAAGTTTTTGAGTAGTCGATAAGAATTATCATCTATATACTTTACTTATTACTGCTAAAGCAAATTTTAAATAATTTTGTCATATAATACAATTTACAAATTTTTAGGGTAGCTGGCTTTTTCTACTATATTCGTTTTCTTTTATATTGCAATCAAAATCTATTTTTTTTTCTGTCAGTTGCACGATTACATTTTTTTCCATTTTGTTTTTAGCTTCAATTTTTTGTTGTGTCAAAATTGTAAAATTGTTCAACGCTTTTTTTTTTGTTATTGTTATGGCACAACAATTTTTATTGACAGAATGTGTAAATAAAAACTAGCTAGAATTTTGTGGGCAACACACAAGTGGAAAGGAGGGCGGGGACCTACGACTGCATGTGTTTTTAATTAACAATAGGCCGCTGGTGGGCGTTTTTTTCAGGTGAATGGCTTAGAATCAAGTTGCATGGGCGTATTTGAACTTATTCAATTTGATGGGTGAAATAGTATAAAACAAGAAAATATGCCTTTGGATTGTATTTTTAATTAAAATAAATTAAAGAGTTGAATAATCTCAAGAAATATCTCCTGATATTTTAGGCATGGGTATCTTCTTAAGTATTTTAGTTTGGATATTAAAATCTATCTTATGAAAACTTTATATATGCATACACTTTTTGTGAACTAAATTGAAAGTATTTAAATCAATCATTGAATTTGCTTCATATCTAAACGCTATATTATTAGAAACAAAACTTTTAACAGCATTTAATTTTTTGTTTTGTTTTTTTTTTTTCCTTTTTTTCGCTTGTGAAGTTTTTGTTAAATAAACAAAAATAATCTTTTAATCATTTCATATGATCCGAATATTATTTTGAAAACACATAAATGATATATTTCGTTTTTTTTTTTTAGTTTTTCTTGGAATTTAGGAATATTTTTATTGTACTTGCAATTAGTTTTGATGTAACATACTTCTGGAAGTAGCTGTTTTGTGTAGCCTCAGCTTGGGGTTATTTATTTGATTAGTATTCGGGTTATTATTTGTTGGGGGAGCAGGGTAAGGCGCATGCAGGCGACATATAGCTGCAGGAATTTGGAGGCGTGTCTTGGGTGTGTGTGGGTGGTAGTGCAGGCGGTTCTTGTAAATCAACTTTTAGTACACACATTTTCATACAGACAGTTAACAGTTATATACACACACATTCACGCCCGCACACACATACAGACATACATACATACATACACATAAACACATATACAAACAATGAGATTGTCATCTACTTACAGAGCGCGCTCAGCGTGAGCGCTTGGCTGGCGCCCGCTGGCGGCGGTGGCGGTGCCACGCCCATTAGCTGTGCCAAACTTAAATTGTGATGCGCATGCGTGACCAATTGTCCAGCGTTGGGCACGAAGCTGGCACCAAGCTGACGCTGATGACTATTGAGAATGTTGCTGCTGTTGGGTATGTGGCTGTTGTTGCTATTGTTGCTGTTGCTGTTGCTGCTGTGGAGGCGATGGCTGTGACTGAGGCTGCTGATGCTGCTGCTGTTGCTGTGCTGGTTAGCATTGAACAACGTTACCAGATTCTGCATAGACATGGATGCATTGGCGAGCAGTCCAGTGCCAGGAGCATGCCCGGCGGCAGCGAGACTCCCGCTGCAGCTGCCGCTGCTGCCGCCGCCGCTGTAGATGGATGCTGGTGATGCGATGCCAAGTGGGAGAGATGATGATGATGTTGGGGGTGGTGCGCCTGCTGCTGCTGATGCGGGTGACCCGGCGACAGCTGCTGCTGCTGCTGCAGCTGCGGCGGCGGCGGCGCCTGCAGCCGATAGATTTGCTGCTGCTGTGCTGCCGACAGCGCCGGATGATGGGCCGTGTTGGCTGTGGTGGGCACTGTTATCCGGTGGGTGGAAATTTAGTCCTGTTTTCAGTTTCCATATTTTKTTTTTTTTTTTTTTTTTTTTTTTTTTTACAGTTTTGAGTTTTGGTTTATGGTTGTAAGGTTTGGTTGAGTTGGTTGATTGATTGATTGATTGATTGATTTTTGTACATGACCACAGAGTCAATCATAGACATACCAAAAAATGTTCAACGAATATTTATATATATAAAAAACATAGAAGAAAACACACACCCAATTGGATTATTTACATTTACAAGAAATTAAAAATTAATTTTGTTGAAATTGTTTTTTTTTTTTCGTTTTTCATGTAAATATATATAACATACAAATCATAAAACATAAATTAACATAAAAGGGCATACAAATTAAAAAAGGAGAGGAAATTAATAAAAAAAAAAAATAAATAAAAAACCAAATCATAAAAAGAAAAATCATAAAAATGAAAATTTATAATACAACCAAAGTAACAAATTGAACAAATTATAAAAGACAATTTTGATAAAAAATAAGGAGCAAATAAAAATTGAAAATAAAAATTTAATAAAATTACTAATAACGCATAGACATAAATTCAATTTCAAATGCAGTTAGACATATAGTAATAGCTAAATAATTAAATTAAAAATAAATTAATAATTATGCATTTGCATTAAAAGGCTCTAAAGTAAGAAGGCTGCTCGAAATGAAAGGCGTGGCGGTAGTTTTTTAGGGCGCTAACCAACGGCCAACTGTTGTTGGGGTTGCAACAGAATCTTACGAGCTCTCACTAAATTAGTTGGCAAGCAGCTACACAAAACGCAGGACTGCTGAACATGGAGGTGGAGTACTCGATAGAGGGAGAGGGAAGGAGCGAGCGACACATAGACTGTCAGGCACGTGTGTGGTTGTGTGTTTACATATGCGCGCGTGTGTGTGTGTGTGTGTGTAAATGTGTTTGTATATGTGGCATGCCCACAAATATTGATGAACACAGACATGGGGCACAACATTCAACAAAACAGGCAACGTTTCTAGATACCTTCCTTGCTAATTTCACAAAATTTTGTTACTCTTCTTCTTCGTTTTCAAATTTTTATCTATTTTCCTTTTTGTTCACAATTTTTCTTAAAGCAAATTTCACTTTGAATGAGCTGCAAGTTGGTTGCTGGAAAAGCCATTATTTTAACTATCATAGACAATGCATTTCTTGTTGTTTCTGTTTCTATACTCTTTGCTATCACGCGCTTAAGCCTTTGGGGCTTTGTCGTCTTCATAAAATTTTAAGTGCGCTTCACCTGTGGCCTGCAATGCACAGAGAGAAAATTTGCTGCTTACCCCTATGCAAGTGAATATTCAGTTAGAGAAGAACCTTTAAATGACGAATTAAATATTGAGTTTTGCTTTAAGCTGAAGCAGATTGGACGAAAATTTTCTAATATTAAAATATACATATATACAGTCGAGTCCTGATAATTTTAAATTGCAATGGGATCGTTTTTTTTGCAATTCACACAGAAATTGAAATTATCGAGGATTATCTAAAACGAACGCGAAATTTGATTTATCGGGTTACAAATTATCGAGACTCGACTGTATATGTATATATTAAAATAGATTTGCAGCATAAGGCTGAAATTGATTTAGACCTGTTGTCTCTCTCTCTTCTCAAAAATATTTCTATATCACTTAACCCCTTTTTGCTCTCAGTGTATACTCACTTGTACCTTCGTTTCTTTACTTTTTCATCCTTTCTATCTTGTGCATTTGTTTACATGCCAGCGTCCTTCTCAGTGGCCCGAGCCTATTGGGTATCATGGACGCCCGCCTCCTGCTGCCACTAGATGCCGCCGCTGGCGATTCTTGTGTCTTTCTTAGGCCTCACTCAGCGCTGTCTTTGATGTTGCGCAGCCTCGGGAATTTGGCATGGCTTATAAAAATTGCAACTCCAAATATGCCAGAAGTGTGGGCAAAAACATAATTTCTGTTGCATGAAAATATTGCTAAAGCACACGCCAAAGGTTTTTGCACATGCTCGCATGCCATATTAAATAATTAGCAACTGCCATGCCCCCCTCACATGTCTGGCCCTTTTTCCCTCCATCAACTTAAGTGCGAGCGCGAAAAGTTCCGCATAGAAACTTTTAGCGTAAATTGGTTAAATCTGCCACATTTACAGGTTGCACACTTAACCAAAAGACGGATTTCTATTTTTTGTACTCTCTGTTATTTCGCCTATTTTTTTCTCTTTTTTTGGTCTCACATAAAAGGCACGTCCCATACATTTGCTGACCATCAGGGAGCGCCCCCATTTAGAGTCCAAGTTTGAGTCTCGGCGTCCGTTGCTGACATTTAAAAAAAGTCATTTGTTATTCAAGTGGCATACGTCGCTCTAAGTTGCCTCTAACTGCCCATCTCTGCCCTTGGCTGTCACCGCTTACCGTTGTCGTTAACTGTTCCTCATTTGCCACCACCCAGCTGCAGAATACTCTAATTGCTAGAGTCTCCATCGGCTTTGTTATGAACTTTGTGCGTATGGGTACTACTTCTTGTTTTTATCAATTTTTCTTGTATTGTATTAAGATATCATCATTGTCAATTATAGTCATTCAGAGGTTTTCAAAATTCTTGTTGAAATGGAACCCAAAAACTATAAGTTTCTGTCTCATAAACAAAAAAAGATTATATTTACTGTTAACTATTATTTTATATCTATGATGAATGACTTTATAGCTTGATATAATTTGGTCTCGCTGTTTCCAATGCAGATTCAGCCTCAACATTGATAATTACTAATTACTCGAGAAACTAATATTTTAAAAATCTGTTTCAATTCTGTGCAGAATATGAATATCTAAAATTAGCATTACAAAGACGCATCTTATAGAAATCATAAAGAAATAATTGCATTTCAGCATTGCATAACAATATTAATTTAATATTTAATATATTTTATTTATATTGCAGAAATACTTAAAGAGCATTCGCAACGTCCCCTATGTAAAAAAAATTACATCAACATCTATTTTTTTTTGTACAATTACATCACGCGTCGCTCAACATTTGGCTGTCTGTGATTCTTTTAGATCTTGTTGTTGTTGTTGTAGTTGGCAGCTCTTGTGCTTGATTTGTTATGCGCAAAATGTTCACGTCGTCGAGACTGGCCAGACAGGCTGGACAGCTGGACGGACAGAGCAGAGAGTTGAGAGCTGTGATGTTCGGCATGGGCGTGGCATGTTGGTCATTCTAATGAAGCGCCGTTGCATATGCAACACGTTCACATTGACGCCGCGTACGTGTCGCAGTATTGCTGTCCGTCTGTAACTGTAACTTTGTACATATATATATGTGTGTTTGTGTGCTTGTGCCTTTTGTTGTTGTTGCTATATCTTTGGTCTGAAATCTGTGCAATGCCTTGGCCATTGCCAGCGCCTGTCCACCTTTTAATCCTATTAGAATTTTTGTTTTATTCATCATGCTCTTTAGTCCGGCCTGCTCTTCAAAAACCCACTCGTAGCCCTACCTTAACATTGCCTTTCACACACATACATATATATATATATCTCAACATTGTTTTTTCTTTTTCTCTCTTCTTTCTCCTGTTTTGTTACGCTCTGTTCTACATTTATGTAAATTTCGTTTGCTTAAATTGAAATTAATTATTTTACAGTTGTCGCTTGCAAATGACTGAAGCGACGTCAGCTTTGGATGCGAGTGGGATGGAGGGGAGGCTGCAGGGGTGGTAGGTGCTCGACACTGCCTCCTGTCCAACTGTTCAACTGTCCAACTGTTATTCATGTCTTTGTTAGTTTCTCTTTAGCTGACTTTGTGTCAGCCGAGAAGTCGCTTGTTATAAATGAAACGACGACAGAGTTAACGGAGAAAAAAAATAATAAGAAAATAATAGAAAAAATCGCTGGCATTTGCAACTTTTACATTAATTCTTGTTTACTTTTTTAAATGCTCAACAAATGACTGCTGTGTACGAGCGCTTAGTTTGCCACATTTAAAGTCATTTATCTTGCGGGAAGCCCTATGAAATATTGTGGAAAATGAATCTAACATTTTACCTGCAGTCCCAAAGTAAAATGAAAATATATTAAAGCTTGACTAGCTTGATTGAAGAAAGTTGACTAACCAAACCATTTTAGTTAATTTTTTTTTAATTTATTTTTTTTAATACTATATTTTCTTAGTCGAATTTGTATTTATTTATTAATTGTTAAAAAAAAAACAATAAAAAAAAAGTTTCCTCTCTTCAACTCAGCTCAACAGTTTTCACATAATTTGCAGCTCATTCAATGTGGTTTTCTTTGCTTATTCTTTCTTGCCAATCATTTCCTCTGCTTTGGTAACCTTTTTTGATTACCTCCTTAAAAAATTCAAAAAAAAAAAAAAAAAAAACATTTTACACACAAAACGAAATGCAAAACTAATTGAAATTCCATGTAAACAAGGAAATTTCAATGGCAAAACGAAACAGATAAATTGATAGATAAATACGAAAAAGAGTTAAACAAATTATTTGGTAATGGGTACAACGCATAGATAAACTAAACACGCAATTAAATAAAACAATTAAACTTGATTTTTGGTTGCAATAGAGAAAAAATTAAAATATATACGAAAACAAACAAGACACAAAGTGCGCGCAATTAACACGAGAAATAGTTGAGGATATTTTTTTATCGAGCAAAATGTGTAAAAACAAAGAAATCGAGAAATATATATATATAGAGACAAATGCAGACATAGAGGAAAAGAGAGAGAAAGGTAAAGAGAGACAGAGATAGAGGTAGAGGTAGAAAAGGAAACACTGTGGATTTGTTTTTGTTTCTGTTTATGGCAATGACTATCTGAGCTGAGGGAACATTCCGATTGGATATACTCTTTTTTTTAGGTGAGGGGGGGGGGGGGGGGGGGGGTAGAGCTTATTAACTAACTATTTCGGTCCTTTTCGAACCTGGCACACTCACCTTGCAGATAGTGGGCCGGCAGTAGTCCGTAGGGCTGCATCTGCTGATAGAGCTGCAAGTGAGCCGTGGGATCAGCGCTGAGGTAGGCAGCTGCTGCTGCGGCTGCCGCGGCGCCAGGCGTCTGGGCATGATGCGGACTGCTGCCGAGCAATGCCGGAGCCAGCGAAGCGCTCAGCGCTGCCGTCGTCGGCACTGAGACGAGCGTCGGCGTCTGTGCTGCAGCGCCAGCACTCTGCACCGGCGGCACACCGGCCAACGCTGCGGCCATCGATGGATTCGGGCGTTGAGCTGCCGGCGCTGCGGCAATCAGCGCTGTGGCGGTGTTCGCTGTGGGCGTGGCAGCCGCTGCTGCAGCGCCGCTGGGCGTTTGTGTCAGTGCACTGATGCCGCATATGGCCTGCAGCTGTTGCATCTTCTTTTGATCCTTTTCCTTTTGCGTGTCGGCGAACTTCACGACCAGAGGCGCCGAGCAGCCTTCCATGGTCTGACTCTGATGCAGGGCCTGAAACGATGCAAGCGAGAGAGGGTTGTATATACAGTAAGTGTATTGTAGATTGAGGAATATTCTGATTGACGGATTGATTTCAGGTATATATAATATAAATATAATTAACATAAGACACTGCTTTGATTGAATGACTGATTGATTAATAGATTGAGTATATATATATTAATATGTTGATTGATTGATATTATAGATAATTAACTTAATTAAGGACTAACTGACCTATCGAGTGCTAGATAGATGCCATATTAATTTCGATTGATTAACTAATAGGGTGATTGATTTATATATTCTTCGCTTATTACTGATATATACATGTTGATTAATTGTGATTGACGAACCAATTGAGTGATTAACTTAGCTGATATATTCAAGCTGATTGATATATTCAAATAAACTAATTAATTGATTGACTGCATCGTTAGCTTTATTGACATGGAATTGTATATTTACTAGCTGACTTTCAGAATCATAGATTTAATATTCGACTTGATTGATATACTTAGTGAAAAGAAAAAAAGGATAGTCTGATTGCCGAAGAGTGATTTCCATTAGAGTACTGAAATAGATGATAGGCTTGCTAGATGGTTGATGGTTTGGCTAAAATGATTGACGATCAATTGACTAGTGGCTGACTGCTTGACTGAAAAAGTCATAAAAAAATTTATTTCACATGAGAAAAAATTAATCTAGGACATTAAACTGAGCATCGACATAAATTTATGTCAATTGCTTCACTTCAGAATAATTCCAAGCTCATATTTCCTAGCAATCACTATACTCAAACGTGTATTTACGAATCGCAGCTACAGAGGCTTATAAACCGCTTCTGTGGCACACGAATAAAGTTCCATCGAACGTCTTTGGACCAATTTCAGTCTGTGGCAACTCCTTCATAGCCGGCACTCGAAGCGCAATTTGTGTGCGGCCGAGACTCAAGCAGGCAAGAACTGAGTCAACTTTGGCTGTTTCCATAAGTTTTATGGGTGGAACAAAATAATAATGACACGAACTTAAGCTGGAGCAATAACAAAGCCGCTGCCTGGCCAAGGCTTCCTGTTGGAGGATCAGCCCGGTTGCTGTTGCTACAAACCGCAGCAATTTAGCCTAAGCGACTTAATTTACACCTTTTACTAAGCCCGCACAAAACAAACAAATGGACACGAAACTAAAACATAAACCAGGCCAAATCGCGCGCGGCATTAGATGCACTTCCGCCGAGGAGGATGCTGCGGGCTGCGCTACGGGCTGGTGTGGCGTAAGAGCCGAGCGCCTGCAACGGAATGGGCCCAAGCCACTTTAGTCATTTCCCGGTTTATGTAGACTTTATCATTGAGACCAGGCGACGAGCCTCGCCAACTTCCGCTCAATTGTGGCCGGGCCGGCAGTTTGTGAAATTCTGGCTGCTGTGGCTGCCGCCTCTTGGGTTTTGCCTGACTGGCTGCCTGACTGCCTGGATCCAGTGTCCTGGGTCTGGGTATCAGGGTGTTCTGTTCTGGCACAGTCAACAGAAGTGCTCTTTAATTACATTGACTATAATTCTTGCGGCTGTGGCGCGACTTTTATGACCGGCTGCTGCTGTTACTGCAACGGTTGTTGTTGTTGTTGTTGATGCCGCTGTTGCTGCTGCTGTTGTTGCTGTTGTTGCATTTTCAGTGTCGCATCCTGCTGCTGGCAACAAAGTAATTAGGCGAATTTCCGACTTTTTAAACAGGTCGCTAAAGTTACCCGCCGTAATAACCATGTTGGCAAGCCAGAAAGCATGCAAAAAGAAATGCGAACAGCGAGATGTGAATTCATTAAGTATAGCAAGAAAATGTTAAAGCTTGATGAAAGAAGCACATAAATTATTGATAAGCATTATTGGTTATTATAGATATGCGCTTTCTATTCAAGTCTGGTTTAATTGAAAGCTGAGCAGAAATTCGTTTGGGTAAGTGGAGAGTTGTACCAGGAATTCTTATTACCAGCGAAATTCTGTTTTTAGTTGCTCCGATAAAACATGCAAAATATATTAAAAAAAAAAAAAAAGCTACACTTTTTTTTCTTCCGCATTTCTTTCGCCTGTCTGCTCGCTCTTTGCGCAGCTGGCTAAAAAACAAAAAAAGCGAGTTAAATGACCTGGTAATCAACATGAAATTCCGCTTTACAGTCCGAGCCAAGTGCCCAGAAACAGTTGACAAATTAGCGCGAGAACAAAATCTGCATGTGATGAGAAATTGTGTATCATCATTTGTTTAAAAAAAAATGAAGAAGAAAAAAATGTAAAAAAGAAAATACACAGCAGCAGCAGTAACCACTGAATGCCAAGATGGAGAAGAGACAATTGTTGGGTGGGCGTGGCTGTGGCAAAATAAATTGCTGGCTTTACAAACATGGCACATTAATATTAAATGCATTTCACTCTTCGCTCGCTCGCYTGCTCGCTCGGCATTGCATACTTTCAGGCGTCAATGGACGGCAATGACTTGCAGCTACTGCCCTGCCCCTTACGTTGTTGGCCCTTAAGCTCAGCGTCCCGCACTCCTTAACCCTTTTTCCTTTTACCCAAACAGCGCTGACTTGCCAAATCATTTGGCCAGCAGCAGCAGCAGCAGCGGCAGCGGCAGAGGCAGCGGCAGAGGCAGCGGCAGAGGCAGCTGCAGCAGCTCATTGCGTTTGGCTTGGTGCGTGCTTCGCATTCAGTAATTTGACTTCAAATGCATTAAAATTGCACAACAAATACATACACACACATGTGTATGTATGTAATGCTATATACATTTATATATACATATATTTATATGTATTTGTGTGCTTGTATATAATGCAGCTCGCCCGCAACACATTCATCTTGCAAAAGGCGACAAATTATGTGCAATGCACAGACACAGAGACAACATGTTTGAGTCGCCCACACTTTGGTCCACCCTAAATACAGCCCAACGTACACACACACACACAGCCTCCCACTCTTTAGTTGCTTTTGGTGTGTGCTTTACATGTGTTTGTGTTTGCCTGTCGGAAGTTTGTAATTTTCCCTGTTTCCGGCACAAAACTTGCATTAGTGTGGACATGTTAGTGTGTGTATGTGTGTGAATGTGTATGCATGTGTGTGACCATTGCAGGCTGGGGCACATGGCTTTTGCTATGGAATCTGTTTGCCTCTCTGCTCGGGCAAAAGCATTGCCGTTGACTTCTTCCGCTGCCAGCGGCGGCGTCTTGCTTGCATTTCTACTTCCTGTTGCCGCTGTTGTTGTTGTTGTTGCTATTGTTGTTGTTGCAGCTGCACGCGGCTTATGCTCAGTCATTTAGGCGTGAATAGGATATGCCAGACTAATAACTTGCATTTATTATATGCATGCTGAAATGCACAAGTTTTCAATTAACTGGTGGATATACTCTCATATATATTTGAGAGTAAAGAGGTTGACTATGAATAGATCTTTGAATAGGAATCAAGAGTTAACGAAGGACAGCTGAAGGGAATTATATTTATTTATATAGGTTTTCTGTCCTTTACTTCATGAGTTACGTGGCTTAGTTACTGCATTTGAATATCATGCACTCAATTTTAAATAATAATTAAGATAAAAATAAAATAATAAATGAAAACAAAATAAAAAATAAATAATAATATAAATCTATAAATTTTTACTTGGAGCCCCAGCTATGGAGTGTAAATAATATAATATATTATTGAATAAAAGTTTTGCTCTTATTTTACATATTTTAGATAGCAGTATCTATAGTCTTTTAGGGTATCCATTTGCTTAAGCAGCTTTTAAATGCCTGCAGCTTCTCGCTTTATGTTGCCGTGGAGCATCGTGTTTTATATGCGCGACTCTTGCCGCCACAGCAATTAATCATTGCGACAGTTTTGCGATGCGGCCAGCACAGATACTTTCACACAAGCACACACAGATACTATGCACAAATGATAGGCTTAAAGCTTTAAACAAACTTTCCCCGAACGATCTACTACTTGATAGCATATACATACTCTATTACAACTTACCTTGATCGCCCCAATGGCATTCTGTTTGGTTGCGAATGTTACGAAGGCGCAGCCCTTGCTCTGGCCCACCTGATCCCGCAACACGGTGCACTCCTCGATGGTGCCGTGGCCCGTGAATAGTTGCCTCACATCGGCTTCCGTATATTTTTTATTCAGCATGCCAACGAAAAGTTTGCGCTCTGCAAATAACAACAAAATACATAACAAATTATATGAATATTTTACTACGAAAACAACAAAAATGTTACGAAAAAATTGTTAGAAATTTATATAAATGTAAAGTTCAAGTGGTAAATGTTCAAGTGGAGGAGGGAAGAAGAAGAAGAGGGAGGCAGAGAGAGAGAGAGAGAAGGAAGCCCACAACATGGCGACAATTTTAATTGTTTTGCAAAATAAATGATAAAGGGGTATATTGGTTTTATAAATGAGACGAAGTTGGTATAATATATATGAATCAATTATTTGAGAAGAGAAGAAAGAGTAAAAATTGGGCTTAAGTATGATATTAAATATATAATACCTTGTGTTTTATTTTACTTAAATATATAAAAGAACATCTTACAAATTTAACGTTCTCTTTAAACTCAGTTTTGAAGAATATAAACTTTGCTTTCCAGTTTTATAGTAATTTTTTCCTAAACCTAAACTACCTTCTAGTCGTTTTATAGAGTATGCTGCACTCGACTCGCATTTAATTTTTCATGTTTATTTATTTATTTATGTTTATTTTATTTATTTTTATTTTTTTTGTGAAGCACAACTTAATGGCTCACAACAATTCATAATTATGCTCGTAAGGCAGTTTGTTGTTACGTGGAGTATGGGGCTCCAGCTCCTGTGGGGACTGCCTCAATTTGTTGATTGGGGCACTTAAGAACGCTTGGGTAAATAATAAAATACAACTGTGGTATTCGTAATATTTTATGAAATCATATCAACCAAAATTAATCAGGCAGCAACTTTAAAAGTGATTTTCTGCGTAATTGACAAGCAGCTGCTGCCGCTGCAATTGCAACTGCAACTGCTACTGTTGGCAACGGAAGCAACTTTAAAAAAAAAAAATAAATCCAAGGAACAAAGCTCGATTGCTGCTCGGGCTCGCCCCAGTAGGGCATTTGTGTGTGTGCAAAGTTTTTGCATGGCAATTGCTTGCTTTATCTTGGCCCAAGCACAATACGCATACGCAACGTACGCCCGTTGCCCGCCCACGGAGTCCACGCTTTGTGTGATGGGTGTGAGGTGTGGGGTTTGTGGGGGGAGGTGCAAAAGTTTTGGAGCGCACATGCAAAAGACTAAAAACGCAATCGCAACAAATCGAATCATTGCAACAACAAAGCGCATGAAAACTTTTCATTTTGCAACACTTTAGAGAAGCGTTCCCAAAGTTTCCGTTGCATAGACAACACTCATACGCAACGTGGTGTCGAGCGGCAGCGCGAGCAGCGGCAACAATAGGAGGCGTTGCTAACCAATTCCAACTGAAGATGGCTTCAAAAATAAACTAAGCGTGTATTGAAACCACTTAAAAAAAAAACTTACTGAGGACCAGTTGACTATAAAGTAAGGAATGTTAAAAAAAAAAGAAAAAAAAAATTATAAATAATTTTTAGCGTTAAAGTTATTTGTAATATGTTTTAAATATATTATAAA